GTCTGCAAACACGTTTATATTAATTCATGGAGCAACACATGGTGGTAAAGCCACTAACAATTGAATTTCAATTTGTGTTTTATTGAACAAATGTTATTGGAATCTACCTAAAGTTGGACAGAATTATAGAATTTGATTATGGACCAAACATGAAACCGCGTCTTTTGGGGAATGTTCTTTAATAGCTGGTGAGTTGGAAAAAGAAAGTTAATTTCAGGAATTAAAACAATAATGTGAAATATAAATTTCAATTTGTCTGTATTTGAGTATTTATTTGTATTTATCTGTATTTGAGTGAATAAGCAGCTATATTGTTTGGGGAGCCAATGGAAATACTTTTTAAAAGTGAATTTCAAGCTTACAGAAATGTGCACCTATAATATAAAGAACCTTTTTTCCTGGAATCATTTGAGAATGAATTGCCGACATTATGCCCCACTACCCTCAAACACTTTCACATGTATTTTTTATATAGCTCAACACAACTGTCAAAATTGGGAAATTAGCATTGATACATTACTACCATCTAATCTTCAGGCTCCATTCAAATTTTGCCAGTTTTCATGACTGCACCCCTCACAGTTCAGAATCACATTTTGCACTTAGTTGTGTTTAGTCTCTGTCTGGGATAGTTTCCTAGTCTTTTCCTTGATTTTCATGATGTTGACACTTTTGAGGATTTAAGCCAGTTATGCTGCAGAATGTCCCTCATTTTGGGTTTGTTTGATGTTTCCTCATCATTAGATTCAGCTTACACATTATTGGCAGAACTCTGACAGAAATGATGCTATGTTTCTCTTGCTAGCTCCTTTCATGTGGTACATGATTTCAATTTGTCCCATTACTAATGATGTTCCTTTTGATATTTGGTTAAAGTGATGTCTGCCAGGCTTCGGCTCTAAAATTACCTTTTCCCTTTGTAATTAATGAGTATTTTTGTTAGGAGATCCCTTGAGGCTGTGTGACTATCCCATTCCTCATTAAACCTTCAATTAATTAATTTATATCAGCATAACTTATGGTTTCCTATTTTCTACAATGGGTTACTGTCTGTTAGTATCCTTATTTATTATTTTGATGTCCAAATGATCTCCGATTTTGCCAGTAGGAGCCCCTTTAACTGGATTCTGTGTCTTTTTTGACATGTACCCATAAGTCTTTTAGCACTCCTTTACTTCCTGACATTGTAAGATGTTTCAGGCTTATCTGTTCTTTATCTGCCCCAGTCCTGGAATAAGTTGTTTTTCCATGGAGTCTTGTTTGTTCTTAGGGGAAAATGATATTTATAAACCAAGATCTGGGTAATAGTTTGCTCATTATGGATGTCCTGTTCCTGGGCCCTCTCAGAGGATAGTAAGGGAATATATTTGTGTGTGTATATATATATCCATATTATGTATGCATAATATACATACATCTGTGTTTCTATATCTATATGTATTAAAAATCATATGTTCACCCCCAGTATCTTTGATTCCAATTCAATACCACAAGATTTGTTCCAGTTTTCTCCTTTTCCATATTTGTGTCTCCTTTCTTCACCAGAAGGAACCTGGGTGCTATGATCCTTAATATATTTACTTATTTGATTAATACCTTTATGTGATAAAAAATTTTCTCTCACTGTCCTCCCTTCCAGTGGGCACATTTTTTAACTCACTTTGGCTTTAATGCCCTGCACTGGGGACTGTCCCACAGAGAAGACTTCTTTACCCTGCTCAGGGTCTACCACCACCCACCCCATGCCCCTGCATAGGCACCCTCCTCAGCCTGCTCACTGCAGCATTATTAAGAATAACAAAACACTTCAGTTTTGTAAAGATGATATATGCTCATGATAAAACATCCAAACTATGCAGAAAAATATAATGCAGAAGAAAGT